CCGCAGGCGATGGCGCAATTTGTTCTAAAAATAGAATTATTGTCCCATATCATGGGAACAACCCCAATACGAGAAATGGGGCGCGCTTACGGTCTCCGTCTCCGATTATGGCTCCTGCCAAAATTTAAAATAAGCGCCCCCTCGAATAAGCGCTCCCTCCCCTCCCCCTATTTTGTGGACGAGTAATGAGATAACAAAGGATGTATAGTTTTCGTCGTGTAGTATCAGATTTGTACATTGTTTCAGTTTGTGACCACGGGAATTTGTACTGGTGCAGCGATTTAACCGTTAGGATCAGCTTTTTATGTCGATAAACAGCTTATGTTGTCGTTTACATGCAGATGATGTTTTAAAAAATGATCATGGCCACGATTTGGGAAAAATTAAATAAGCGCCCCACCTCGATTAAGCGCCCCTCGTCTTCCCCTGAATTTGAAATAAGCGCCCCGGGCGCTAATTCGAGGATTTACGGCGAAATTCTTCTACCCGGCCCCTGCCGGGCTCTTGTGCGACCCAGGCCACGTGACACATTTTCCTTTAATCTGAAAACGTATTTGGATTGAGAGGTGTAACAATTTCATCTTGTTCTTCAAAACCTTCAAGGAAAGCTTCTCCAGGTAAGAGTGAACATAAATGCTGTAGATTAAACCTCAAATCAACGAACACGAGAAGATTGAAATGTGTGAAGAGGTCCTTGAAAGGCAGCCGAAATTTCGTTTTATTGGCCTGCGTCAAAGGCAGAAAGGTTACACGTGGCGTTCAAGTCGGTTCGCGAAAATGTGACTTGATATTTTACTTCATCTGCGAGCAGAAGTTGTTGGTTTCCTGGAACTTGAATAAATTATGAAATAGATACAGGCCCTGTTTTGTTTTGTTGTTTTTGGAAAAAAGAAAAACATCTACAGATCTTATGATCCAGCCTCAGATGCTTCAAGCTTATATATCTTTGAAAAGAAAGATTTCGTTAATATCTGTGTATTGATTGACTAATAACTTTCCTGGAAAAATCATATTGATCTAATCTGTCTTAAGATTAGCAGAACTATTGGAATTTTAGCTAGACTTCGACACTCTATTCCCTTAGGTCCTCTTGAATATCAACCCAGCCCTTATTAACACTCATCTTTGCTATGGCATCTGTGCTTGGGGCTCTGCACCTAACACTTAAACAAGATTCTTTTACTTCATGGAAGAGCTTTACGCCTGATTTACTGCAAGGGTTACAGGGAACAAGCTGTACCCCTTTTCATAACCTCAAATGCCCTTCCTAGTTCTTTTATTGCATTCGACAGAACACAGTTCTAATTGCGTAATGCATAAAAATTTGAGACCTGTGAATCTATCTATCTATCGGGGGCACCAATTTGCCCCCCCCCCCTGAAAAAATTCTTCAGGGGCGAATAACGTCATGTCCATGCTTGTCACGTCTCCATGTGCTCGTCGCATCTCCATGTGTTTATCTGCTGTTACCGGCAAGTTGCGTATTTGAAGTTTGATGTTAGAGTTATGGCGTTAAATTACCTTGTAGCTAAGATTTATTGATGTCTTCA